CTGAACACCTACTATATGCTAAGGACACAGTGATGAATGAAGCACTCCTCAAGCACAGTAAACAGACAATTATGTATGGCTGTTGTTATCTTGGAAATGTCAGATATAGCTCACAGAATAGGACTCTGTGCAAGCTAAATTTATACAGACATTTTAACATTCTCTGTACATTTAAAAATTGTTGGCAAGGGAGGAAACTACAGGAGATTTATAAATAGGATTCTTTCCACACTCCAGGCTCTTGTCTTCTGAAAGGCACTAACGATGCAGGTTGACTTTAGTAGGCCTTGAGCTACCTTTTTATCCTTCATCTCATGAAACTCTAGAATTTCAACCAAATACTTTTACAGATGTAGTTAACCAATGAGGAATTTCCAACAGAATTTTAGGAAAGAGCTTTTCATTACAGAAAGGATTTGAATATGACTTATCAGTTTACATTACAAACTCTCTTTGCATACATGTATCTGGTAATCTGGCAAAACAGAGGTCTAGGTGTGTGACTATGGAAATATGTAAAGTAAAAGGGCAAGTTTTTTTCCTTTTATTGTAGGGGAAACAGTCTTACTCTTGTCACCTAGGCTGGAGTACAGTGGTGCAATCTTGGCTCACTGAACTCTCTGCGTCCTGTGTTCAAGCAATTCTCATGCCTCAACCTTTCCAGGAGCTGGAATTACAGGTGTGCACTAGCACACTCAGCTAACTTTTGTATTTTTAGTAGAGACAGGGTTTTGCCATGTTGACCAGGCTGGCCTAAAACTTGTGGCTTCAAGTGATCTGCCTACTTTGGACTTCTAAAGTGCTGGGATTACAGGCATTAAGCCACCGTGCCCAGCCTTGGAAATTTCTCTATATCATCAATTTATAAAAGGTTAGAGCATCTATAGTTACTGGGGGTTTCAAAAATCCCCTGTGAACGAGCAGAAAGTCTAGTAGGTGGGAAAATGAAAATGACAAGGAAAGATAGAGGATAGTATTGCCAGAGGGTATAAGCCTTAAATAAACCAAAGATATGTATACAAATAGGGTTGAGCCATGATTTAAAAGCAGCCATGGCCTGTGAGAAAGAGGCTGATATCCCTTAATTCAGGGTCATAGAAGATGAGAAGAAAGCATTTGATAGAGCTGCAGAGGAAAGAAATGTTCTGTGGAGGCCTAGATTTCAAGACAGACCTAAAGGATGTACAGTTCCAACAACATGGGGTCAGAATGACTCTGCTAACATGTGCATTCTCATGAAGTTTCTGAGGTGGTGGAAGGACTATGAGCCTCGCCACAAGGAGTCAGTAGAGCCCAGGCTTGACTGGGCTGTGAGTGAATACTATACCAGGTGTGTAGGCTACAAAGACCAGCATCCAGAACCTTCAGCATGTAATTACAACAAAAATCATATACATTGGTAGATTTGGAGAAGAGAACTGCCTTCTCTGAAGCTGGTCACAGCCTAATCCTATTTTATTTTATTTTTTGACATGGGCTCTCATTATGTTGCCCAGGCATATATATATATATTTGGAGATGGAGTCTCACTCTGTTGCCAGAATGGAGTGCAGTGGCACGATCTTGGCTCACTGCAACCTCTGCTTCCTGGGTTCAAGCAATTCTCCTGCCTCAGCCTCCCAAGTAGCTGGGACTACTGGCATGTGCCACCATGCCCAGCTAATTTTTGTATTTTTAGTAGAGACGGGGTTTCATTATATTGGCCAAGATGGTCTCGGTCTCTTGACCTCATCGTCCACCTGCCTTGGCTTCCCAAAGTGCTGGGATTACAGGCATGAGCCACCACACCTGGCCTCCCAGGCTGATTTTAAACTACTGGGATCAAGTGATCCTCCTGCCTTGGCCTCCTGAGTAGCTGATATTACAGGAGCACACTATGATCTTAACCCCATTAGAGGCCAAAATTAAGAAGTTAAGAGGAATGGCCTAAAGAAGTAACTCACAGATTATTATATAACCTTTTATAAGTAATTTCTAACTGCTCTGCAGAACTGTTTCTTGCATTTAAAAACTGCCTATGGGCCGGGCGCAGTCGCTCAAGCCTGTAATCCCAGCACTTTGGGAGGCCGAAGCGGGTGGATCACGAGCTCAAGAGATTGAGACCATCCTGGTCAAATAGGTGAAACCCCATCTCTACTAAAAATACAAAACATTAGCTGGGCATGGTGGCACGTGCCTGTAATCCTAGCTACTCAGGAGGCTGAGGTAGGAGAATTGCCTGAACCCAGGAGGCGGAGGTTGCGGTGAGCCGAGATCACGCCATTGCACTCCAGCCTGGGTAACAACAGTGAAACTCCATCTCAAAAAAAAAACAAAAAAAAAAACTGCCTATGATCATGTCTTACTCCCTCCTGCTATCACAGGGAAATAAGACCATACTTGTAAGAGCTCTTTGTAAGAAAACAGTAAAAACAAACCAAAACAAAACAGAAAAACAGATGTTATTAAAGATAACTGCCAAACTAGAAAATCTTGCTAAGAAAATTATAACTGACAACTTTGAGAGGCTGAGGCAGGCAGATCACATGGTGAGGAGATCAAGATCATCCTGGCTAACATGGTGAAATCCGATCTCTACTGAAAATACAAAAAATTAGCGGGGGCGTGGCAGCATACGCCTGTAGTCCCAGCTACACAGGAGGCCAAGGCAGGAGAATCACTTATACCTGGGAGGCAGAGATTACAGTGAGCTGAGATCTCACCAGTGCACTCCAGCCTGGATGACAAGTGAGACTCCATCTCAAAAAAAAAAAAAAAGAAAGAAAGAAAGAAAATTATAATTGAGAACTTAATGCAGGTAACAACATAATGCTGGGACAATTCAGGATTTATCATTTTTAAGACTTGGTAAACATTGAAAAATAAGATTAAAGTACTTTGGAATAAAATGACAACTTCTTCTCTATATCTAGCCTTGAGAACAGAGTATTCAAATTAATTAACCATATACCACCTTATTAATAACCAAAGAAATACAAATTAAAACAATAAAATACCATTTTTTGGTCTGATTAGCCAAGCATTTTAAAGACTGATAATACTTAACGTTAATGAGTGCAGTGCTCACTTCTCTTAACACTACAGGTAGATGGATACATTGGTACAATCTTTTAGAAGAGCAATTTGACAATATTTACCAAGACATAAGTGTACATGTCTTTTAATTTCACAATTCCATTTATAGAATATGGCTTACCAAAACATTATTAAATGCACCACTGTTTATTTAAAAAATGGGTAACAATTTAAATATAAATTTACTGGTGGAATTACAATCAATAATTCTCATATTATTTACATAAGAAACACATATATATACCAAACACGCATACTCCTATCTGTTTTAATCTGAAATTCATTTCAATAGAAAGCCATGCTAATTTACTGAGCAAAAGATTATAGGTGCATTTCAGACAAGCATTAAAAAGGGCTAATGGTATATTTCAATATAAATACAATTAGAAAAATCTTTCTGCTTTCGTATCGTCTTTGGGGAAGTACATATTAAAGGGAAAACTTTCATTATTTAAAAAAATAGATAAGTAATACTTGAACGAAGAGAATGAGAGCTACATCTTTCATAAATATTCCTTAAACCAATTAGGATTGCCACTTAGCTATGAGGATGAAAAATGACTTTGTACTGACTAGCTGTTAATATAAAGTAAACATATGCTACTAAATAGTAAGAAATGCAATTAAGAGCTAAAATGACACTTGTAATGAGACATTCATTAGGAGTTAGGGTAAACTGAATATAGAAAACTACATATTCCATATCAAAGCTGTATCGACTTATTTCAATAGCCTGTCGGTCTTTGAAATTGTTACTAAACTCCATACACGTTCACAACAATACAATGATGTCCAAAACAGTATTTTTAATATGCTGCAATTTAAAGTAATGGCTGCCTTGTGCTTTCCTTAAACTATTATACCAGCAAAACCATTAATAAGAATCAGGCTGGGTGCGGTGGTTCACACCTGTAATCTCAGCACTTTGGGAGGCCAAGGTGAGTGGATCACCTGAGGTCAGGGGTTTGAGACCAGCCTGATAATGGTGAAACCCCATCTCTACTAAAAATACAAAAATTAGCTGGGCATGCTGGCAGACGGCTGTAATCCCAGCTACTCGAAAGGCTGAGGCAGGAGAATTGCTTGAACCTGGGAGACAAGAGTTGCAGTGGGCTGAGATCGTGCCACTGCACTCCAGCCTGGGTGACAGCGAGACTCCGTCTCAAAAAAAAAAAAAAAGAAAATGAAGCATCAAAACAGGCTTCCTATAAACATTTGTATATAACTGCTAATTGTGCATATATTTTCATTTAAATATGCATAAACAGGTCAGGTGCGGTGGCTCACGCCTGTAATCCCAGCACTTTGGGAGGCGAGGCAGGCAGATCACTTGAAGTAAAGAGTTCAAGACCAGCCTAGCTAACATGTTGAAACCCAACCTCTACTAAAAATACAAAAGTTAGCCAGGCGTGTTGGCATGCACCTGTAGTCCCAGATACTCTGGAGACTGAGGCAGGAGAATCGCTTGAACCTGGGAGGCAGAGGTTGCAGTGAGTTCAGATTGTACCACTGCACTCCAGCCTGGGCGACAGAGCGAGATTCTGTTTCAATAAATAAATAAAATAAAAATAAATAAATATGCATAAATATCTACACAAAATTTCCATGCTATTTATTATATACCTCTTTAAATTCAGCCTTTACTTAGTGAGCGCATCAAGAGAGAGGGCTAGAATGGGCTTAAAATATTTGTTAATGCTATCTCTTGATGCTGTCTCCTGATTCAGTAGGCTCCTTACCCTCATATTTAGAGCACTGCCTTATATACATCTTCAGTGACAAAAGGGACATGACTATCATTCTATATACCACAGAGTAAACATTCTTTTAGGTATGCTGACCGATAGTTATAAACTTGCACATTAGTTACAAACTTGGACACTACCCCCAAAGCCTGACAAATTAGTTATATGCAGGATACTCACGTCTGTATAGTGGCCTAGCATATGACATCGGTCACACTGTTTATCCCAGGAACGTCTGAAAATACATGAGTGGTCCAACATCTTAGGCACAGGACAGTATTCGCAAAGTGGGGCTGGACAGGCATATAGGAGGTGTCCTTTCTCAGAGCACAGGAAGCAGCTACGAACTTTCTAAGTGGCAGAAAATCATAAAATCTGTTCAGTCTCAAAGGTAGAAGATTAATACTTCTTTTTCATTATAATCCCATAATAAAAACTTTTTAATTTGAGATCCCAATAAAGGTTGAATCTTGAGCACAACTGTAAAATAACACAATGTCCAAAGCACTGTATGTATATTGTTTGTCAAAAAGGCTTAGTCTGTACATACTAGCAGCTGGCATTTATTCTTTATGCCTCTTCTTATAGGAATACTGACAAAGCGAAAGGTATGTAACAGGGAAAGTAGAATGAGGGGGATACCTAGAGGCTGAGTCGTAGGAAGAACACATACAGAAGAAGCTGTTTTGTCCGGAGAAGTAAAAACAAAAAAGGAACATGAGAGCAGTCTGACTATTTGAAAAGCAGTAATTTGGAAGAGTTAGGAGGTAATGGAATAAATGTTTGTTAAGAACTTATTATCTAGTAAGGGAATGTCTAAGATTTTCAGTTCTGTGTTTTTCCAGAGGCCGATGTGCCTGCTTAATGTAACTTACATCAATAAATATTTTTAAATGTCCCAAATTATAATTTTCTAAGAATAAAAATCATCTCACAATGAAATAAGCGTGCTTATGAAGTAGAAGGTTTACAAGTGAGAAGGGTCTCAGGAATCATCTGATTCAATCTTTTCATGTTATAGACAAAAAAATAAGAAGCACAGAGGGTTAAATGATTTGCCCATACAACTAATAATGAGAAGGTAAAATGATTCCACATTTTTCTGACTCTAAATTTATTATTATTTCTCCTACACTAGGCTGTAAGCTACATGAAATTTAACACACATATTATAAAAAGATTTGAATTCTAAGGTTATAGGGTTTCAACCTTGAGATTTTGATTTTACAAATGTGGAAAGGAGCAAGGCATATTTCACGTACTGGTGGTAAGGGGCAGTTTTTTGATAAATGACCACGTTTGCCACAGTTTCTACAGATAATGTTTTTGTTGGCTGAATAATATCGCTGGGTCCATCTTCCAGGTGATCGGTTATTAGCTATCTGGGCCTAAGAGAAAAAAAAAAATCAAGAATTAAAAAAAAAAGTTTCACTGCTGAATAAAAACCATCTACTACTCTTGTTAAAGACAACTATAAGTGAGTAAAGATACATTAAGCTTCAAGTCAGTTGCATTACCTAGATAAAGCAAGAGACTTAATAGTTATATCTGTTTAACTTAGAACCTAGCCACAGAAGAACTTCATGATCTTTCTTGTTCTCTTAAAAAGAGGTAGAAAAACATAAAAAGGAGGTGCCATAAATGTAACTCTAGTGCTTTTTGTCTGCCCTCCTGCCTGCTGAATGAGAGGCATGCTTAAATTTTGAGTTAGGGAATGGTGTTTTTATGACTTTGTCTTTTGTAAAGTTATAATAGCTACCAAATAGATCCTTTCTTTTGAACAGTACAGGGTTACTGCCCACAAGACTAGGTGATAATTTCTATAAAGGAATGAGATAATTTCCTTCCAGTGGAGTCCCTTTAAGATTTATTCTTGGGGCCGGGCGCGGTGGCTCAAGCCTGTAATCCCAGCACTTGGGGAGGCCGAGGCGGGTGGATCACAAGGTCGAGAGATCGAGACCAACCTGGTCAACATGGTGAAACCCCGTCTCTACTAAAAATACAAAAAATTAGCTGGGCATGGTGGCACGTGCCTGTAATCCCAGCTACTCAGGAGGCTGAGGCAGGAGAATTGCCTGAACCCAGGAGGCGGAGGTTGCGGTGAGCCGAGATCGCACCATTGCACTCCAGCCTGGGTAACAAGAGCGAAACTCCGTCTCAAATAAAAAAAAAAAAAAAAAAAAAAGATTCATTCTGCCTACACAATGACCCAATACTACCTGTCCCATATTCTAACATAAAATCTAGGATCTGGTAAGAGAATACTAGCAATGCATATCATATGGAATATCTTTTTTTTTTTTTTTTTTTTTTTTTGAGACAGAGTGTTGCTCTTGTTACCCAGGCTGGAGTGCAATGGCGCGATCTCGGCTCACCGCAACCTCCGCCTCCTGGGTTCAAGCAATTCTCCTGCCTCAGCCTCCTGAGTAGCTGGGACTACAGGCACGCACCACCATGCCCAGCTAATTTTTTGTATTTTTAGTAGAGACGGGGTTTCACCACGTTGACCAGGATGGTCTCGATCTCTCGACCTCGTGATCCACCCGCCTCGGCCTCCCAAAGTGCTGGGATTACAGGCTTGAGCCAACGCGCCCGGCCCATATGGAATATCTAAAGAGGAATTGTAAATCCCAATCATGCTTTAGCTTGTCTGATTGAATTCCATCTTTAAAAAAGTTTTAGTCTTTTATTTGTTATTTTGCTGAACTGGCCAGGTAGACCACAAGTAAATACAATTATCTAGCTATCTTCCAAAACCAATTTATAAAATTATTCTTTTTGTAATATTTGCCATAATTAAGGCTAATAATTGACAAAGAAAAACACCTGCCACATCCTAAAAATAGACTAACCATTTCCTTACACTGAAGCAGCAGTTATTTCCGGTGTTGATCTTTTTAGTGGTACCAGGCCACATGGGCTAAGAGGACTCACCACAGGAGAGCAGAAACAGAAAGGGAAAGGGGACTGGATGATTACAGCTATTGACTCATTCACAAAAATCAAGGCTGAACCAACTTTCTGAAGAGTTAAATCACTGATATGCTAAAATCAAATATTTTCTTATAAGCCATTTAAGTTTGTTTCAAAAGTTATAATAAATTATGAAGCAAAGGAAATTATTATTCTAAATTTTAAAAATAATTTGATTTTACCTCAATGTCTTTATCACTGATGAACCAGTTGATATCATCTTCTCCTACAAAAACAAATAAAATATTACTCAACCATAGCACTTTAAAGGACTTGTAGACTGACAATAGATTATACAATTTATAAGTACTCAAATTGGACCCCAAAGGTATAGTGAGAAATGGTGAATACATGAAATTCTTATTTTGGCTCTGTTACTAGTTGTGTGGCCCTGAACAAATACTTAACCTCTCTGAACCTCAGTTTCCTGACCTGTGAAATGGGTTAATAGTATTTGCCCTGTCTACCTGAAAAGTCCTATGAGAATAAAATGAAGTACATGAAAATACACTGAAAAACATCAGACTACATACAAATATTAAAAAAAAAAAATCAGTGAAGGGCCCAAAAATCCAACAGCAGATGCAGAATGAAATCTTATATTTCTTTTATCTGACTAAAGCAGAGCTTTACTGAGGCAGTTGTCACAACCCTTCCACACCTCCAGGAGGGTCCACAGGAGGGAGATGACTGACACTGGACACTGAGACATAACAAAAAAATTGTGTAAATAAGATCCTTCTGTACTTTGACTCCCTAAACTACCCCTTTTTGTTAAGCCGGTATATAACCCCTGACTTCTTTTTGTTTTGTTTTGCTTTGGAGACAGGGTCTTGCTCTGTTGCCCAGGCTGCAGTGGTACCATCTTGGCTCACTGCAACCTCTGCCTCCCACCTCAGGCTCCTGAGTAGCTAGGACTACAGGATCATGCCACCACGTTTGGATAATTTTTGTAATTTTTTGGACAGATACAGAGTTTTACCATGCACCCAGGCTGGTCTTGAACTCCTGAGCTCAAGCAATCCACCCACTTCAGCCTCCCAAAGTGCTGACATTACAGGGGTATGCCACAGCAAGAGGCATAACCGCTTACTTCTATAACCCAGTCAACTCTTCAGAGTTACTGATTATTGAGTGCTCCTGAATAAACTTTGTCTTTTCTCCAGTTAACCTGTCCAGTATCAGTTAACTTGCAGGCCCCCAATTTGAATTCAACTTAGTAGAGGAAAATTTTTTCTACCAAATATCAGTATTAAAGGGTGTCCACTAGCTTTCCATTCTACGTGACATACAGTATGATGTTAAAATAAATTAAAATGGGCCGGGCGCGGTGGCTCAAGCCTGTAATCCCAGCACTTTGGGAGGCCGAGGCAGGTGGATCACGAGGTCAAGAGATCGAGACCATCCTGGTTAACATGGTGAAACCCCGTTTCTATTAAAAATCCAAAAAATGAGCTGGGCATGGTGGCACATGCCTGTAATCCCAGCTACTCAGGAGGCTGAGGCAGGAGAATTGCCTGAACCCAGGAGGCGGAGGTTGCGGTGAGCCGAGATCACGCCATTGCACTCCAGCCTGGGTAATAAGAGCGAAACTCCGCCTCAAAAAAAAACAAAAACAGAAACAAAAAAACAAAAACAAAAAAAATTAAAATGTCTCACTAATAGGGTTAGGTTCTTAGCATTGTGTTTTATAACATCAAAAACAGCAAAATAAAGGAACAAAAAAGGAGGCCAAATATCCAGAAACCACTGATTAATCTAAATATACAACTGTAAAAACCTAGTGGAGAAAATAACCCCCCACATTTTTCTGTATCAACTGTTTTCTTTGCACTGTCCTTTCACAAATGTGCAAATGGCTGCTATTCCTTTGGTCCACCCATGGCCAAGGGGGAAGGGACCTATGACTAATGCAGAAGCTAAAAGTGTTGACAAAAGGACTGTAAGATCTTTTTCTCCCTTTAAAGCTAAGATTTCCTCTCTCCTCCTACCTTACTACTTTCCTCTATCTCAAAAACACAAATCAAGCTTGACTTGTTTCTTTGAAAGGCTTTTGAAGAGACATGAAGTAATCTACATTTTCCCAGGCCTACCAGGAGTAAGTGTCTAGAGATATATTTTAAAATAAAATACTTTTACTAAGAAAACCATGAGGCTACTTTACAAAAAGACCAATCCATAGGTATGAAGAGATGCTGTGCTGATGATTATTTTCTTTGTAAAATTTGAAGGCTGTATCCATGTACTGAGAGTGGAGAATACATGAAATAGCAGCAGCTTCTATTCCTTCATCAACCATCCACTCTATTATTCTTTATTCAAAGGATCCATGTATGGAGCATGCTTTGCTATTAACTTTCAAAGCTGCTTTTTGTATCTCAATGTCTTTCATCATTAAAATTCAAAACGACCATTTGAAATTATGTTAACTATTAAGACTGACTTAAAAATTGTTCTTAAAAAATGAAATATAAAACCAATGAAATGTAAAATGGAAACTGTACTCTCTGAATTTACGCATAAACAGAAAACAGTGAAAAAAGAAGTTTGAGAGAGGGAGATCAACTCCATTCAGATTGTTTTAACATTTCTGTGGAATTCAACAATATTCTTATATACAGTTGTCCCTCAGTATATATGAGGGATTGGTTCCAAGACTACCCTGGTAGAACCAAATCCTCGCACAGTCAATCAATCAATCAACTAAGTGTATAGGTCTGTTAGTAACCATTCTGGCCCCTAATAATCTGTGTATCTATATATTACAGACCGTGAGCTCATGGTTAGAGATTGGGAAAAAAGAAACAATAGCTAGTATATACTTATAATACTTAAGAACCCAAAACTTTGGACTTTTTCAGTATCTATTCCTGTACTTGCATCATAAAACCAAAACTCTTTCTGATCTGAGATGACGTTCTTTTAATGCTCTCTCCAACAGCATCTCCCCTTTTGCCCGATTTTCCACCCAACCCAGTACCATTTTCACAACTGCAAACTCTGAATAGCCTTTAAGGCTCAGCTTCTCAAAACCAATGTATTTAGGTTGGTGCAAAAGTAATGATGGTTTTGCCTTTGAAAGTAATGGTAAAAACCACAACTACTTTTGCACCAATCTAAAATAGATAATATTTGGCAGTTTTCTCACTTGACCTCTAGGAGGCATTTACAATTCTCTTGGCTGATAGAACAAAATGCTTTCCTAGCTCTTGTCCCACTTTGGGGTTTCCTCTTCACTCGTTAGTCGGTATACTCCATTCTTTACCCTTTTTCTTCTATAATTTTTTCTCCCAGATTATGTCAATATATGCCCATAGTGAGAACTACTGAATTTGTTTCTCTAGCCATGTCTTTTCTTAGATGTCTCACCGGTATTTCAAACTCATAACCACTAAAACAGAATTCTTTCTCTTTCTTAAAAATATACCAACAAAACCCCTACTTTCCTTCCCTGTCTTCTATCTCAGTGACTTGTACCATAGTCTGATTTCCAAATCAGAAACCTCAAGTCAGATTCTCTCTCACTTTTCATACCAAATACTATAAATAGGCTATCCAAAATAGCCTCAATGCCATGACTTTAGCCCAGGGCCACTTAATATCTTACCCATGTTATTAAAATATCTTCTGACTATCTCTATTATCACACACTGCTTTCCATTCCACAGCTACTGAAGTAATTTCTAAAACAGAAACGTGAATACATTCTGCCCTGAATGGTCCCTTGCTGCCTACAGGATACATAAAAAATTCCTTTGTATTCTATAGAATGCGCCTTTCATGATTTGGCCATTACCTGTTTTCTCTCTCTTCATTTTCCTAATTGCAATGTTCCAGCTATGCCTAATAATTTCTCCAATTTTCTGTTATTCTCTGCAGTTATGCCTCTACACATATTCTCTGGAACACCTGAATTCACCCCCAATTCATTCACTTAGAATTGGGACATGACCTTCAAGTCCCTACTCACCTCCACTGAAGTCTTATCTGGTAGCCCTACAAAAGCAGTGATAATCACTCACAACTTTGTAACATCTGAAATTTAATTGTGTAATTTCTATCTTTGTATCTTCCAATCATCAAAGCATGATTGCTTAGTTGACAGGTATTCATATTTACCAAATAAATTAAATAACATTTCTGTCTCCTTTGAATTCCCTCTAGCAGTAAAAGTATTTTCTCCTTCAGTCATATTCTGAAAGCATCTTATCTGTATTTTGGAGGATCCTGGGCACTTTTAAACCCTGTATTAAGGGCTTTGTCAATAAATAGTTTATTTCTCTCTCTATATCAAAGTGCTCTATGGACTGACACCACATATATTTTATCTATCCAGTTATCAGCATATTATCTTGCATACTATGAAAAACATCAGAAAATAAAATTAGAAAGAAAAAGCAAAAAGGAAACATTCATATGGACAATTGTGTGAATACTGTTCTGAATTGGGGCACATAAGCCAGTAGATAATTTAATGAACTGTTATTATATAATAAAATCTAATAAGACAGTTCTCTGTGTTTAGGGAAAAAACTTAGAATTTCTGTAATAATCAATTCTTAAGGATTAAAAAGGACTTTAAGACCTGCCATTATTGAAATAACACTGTGGTAGGAATGGAATCCACATCAAATAAGATAATTGCACATTTATAGATAATTGTGTTTATACCTAACCAGTGTTTATGGATTAAAGATCTTACAGACAAAGCTGCCAGATATTTGTCATATCCTTTCCTAAGTCCAACTCCACTACAGCAGATAACCCCTTGGGATCTTTCTCACTTCTAATAAGCAACTGAAACAGCCACAGATGAAGTTACTATTCCCAACTTCATCAGCAGCATCTGTTTTCAACGGAAACTTCTGAAATATACACAATGCCACATTCAAATCCCTTGAGGGCTAAGCCACTTTATTCACTTACATTCTTCCAAAACTGCTCCTGCTTTCTGTCTTGGTTTTCTCAAATTTATACTTTTCAGTTACAACACTGGTCACAAAACTGTTTTAGTCATTAAAATTTTTCACCTTACAAGTGGCAATGGTTTAAATAAAACACATTTAATATAAGAATTTGCAAGTATTGGATATATGTCTTTGTAAAAAAGAATAAAAAATGAAAACAAAAAAACAAAAAAGAATTTGCAAGTAAAGCATCGAAATGTTCATCTTATTTTAAACCATATTAAATTTACCAGAACAATTTATATTTTTAACATGTGTG